AAAACAGAAATGAAGACATGAAAATGGAAAATATGCAATAAAGCGGCAAAGAAAATGTGGTAATATACAAGGGAGTACTACTCTGCCACGAAGAAGGATAAACTCGAGTCATTTATGAAATGGATGCACCTTGAGACCAGAATTTTAAGTGAGACAAATCAGATGCACAAGTTTAAATATCACATTGTTTCACTTGTGTGAGAAATCCAAAAGGTAAGTAAAGAGCAAAAAGGAGGATAGAAAGTACAAAGTAGGAAGAACATGTTCAAATGGGAAGGGTAACAAGGGAAGGGGGAGACAGAAGGGGCGGGAGGGAAAAGGGATTTTTAAAAAGAGAATGGAAGCGAAAAAATGGAGACAAAGCTTTTGCAAATGGGGAGGGGAGGAAGGATTGAAGGGAGGGGAGGGTAATGGAGAAAAAACAGAAGACATGAGGAATGTGATCATCACGTGTAGCACATATGTACTAATGAAATAAAATTCAAAAGTACGTTCTAATTCTAAAGTGACTAAAGGAACATGAATGAATTAAACTCAGCAGTTAACTGACAAACACTCTCAAAGTAGTATAAAAGTAAGATTCAGAAATAGGTTGCTTAAAGAAAATATATTTGAAGAAAAGGATATGGAATGGATGAAAATAAAAGAATTGAAAAACACATGTTGTGAGGCAAATTTAAAGGGAAAGAAAGCCAGGGTTAAATTTTTACCATCAAACAAAGCAGATTTGGGAGCAAAATGAATTTTTACAAAGGAGAGATGTAACAATAAATCAAGAAGTTGTAATAATCCTGAGTTTGAGCCCCAGTACCAAAAAATAAAAATGAAAATAAAATATATAGAACTAAAGTTATAGATTTAGAGGAGGAAATAACCGATACTAGTACTTGATTTTAACAAATGCTTTTCAGAATCAGTAGCTAAGTAGATAAAATCTAAGCCATACTATAAAAGATATGCATTGTTTGATTATTAACCTTTTTCATGTATATGAAAAACAAAGATTCCACACTCAAACAGACTATTAATGTTTTCTGAATACACAGAAATATTATAACTAAGTTATGAAAAAGCTTAAAAAATTCTAAATAATAGGTATTTATATAGAATATACTTTCTGAATAGTGTTCAATAAAGTCAGAACCTGATTACAAGTACAGCAAAATCAAGTTCTGTGGTTCTGGGAAGTAAAAAAACATAACACAGAATAATTTCTTGTGTTAAAGAAGAAATTGCAAGAGAAATGGCATGAATATAACAATAGTATTCTAGATGTAAAACACTGACATGTAGCTGAAGTAATATTCAGAAAAAATATAGCTTTAAATATTTATCAGAATGATGAAGCTATTAAAACTTATATACTAAGTGCAACTGATCAAAAATAACAAAAAAGAAAAGCAGAAAAAATGAAAGACATTGGTAGGAAAGAAGAATTTTTTAGTTGAAAAAGAGACCACTAGGAAGAAACTAGGAGACAGACTTTTGGACATGGGAAAGATCAGAGGAGGAAAGAGGAAAAGAAGGGTTCACTGGGACAGATAAAAGATTAAGATGCACTAAGTGCATGTACCAGCTTACCAAAATGAACTTCATCACTCTGTACTGATAACACACATTTATAGAAAGCAAGCAAGAAAGAGAAAAAGAAGGCAGAATGCAAATGGGAAAAATTATTAGGAATGTCAAAGCTAGTAGGACATAAAACTCTGAAAAAAACAACGAAGAAAAAAGTAAAAGTATTCAAATAAAGAACATATAAAAAAGGTATATCAGAGGCATGCAAAAGTAGAATATTTAAATTTTATTTTATAAAAGTAAATGTAAAAGCCAATATATATAAATTTCTTGAAACATGCCAAATATCAAAATTGGCCCCCAAAATAAAAAACTTGAATAGATTAATAATAGCTATTATTAAAAGTATTTAAAACATTCCTCCACAATGCACAGATGGTTTATAGCTGAGTGATAACAAACTTTTGGGAAGAGAAATTTCTATTTTGTATAAATCATTAGGTTTCTTTTATAAAAGTCATTTCTGAAAATATAAAACAGAAAACTGACTAATTTATATTAAAGCTAATATAATCTTTGTAACAGCTTTTGGGTAAATCAGTGTATTCAGATTTTGTGTTACCACTGGGCACTGATATAACAAGTAGAGGGTATATAAAATTTTAGGTGGTCAGAAAAAAAACTAAAATTAAATAACTACATTCCGTAAGCTTGGATTAGAAGACCCAATGTAACAAAAATGTCAGTTTTGCATAAATTAATTTACTAGTTTAATCTAATTACAACAAAAATGTAAAATAATTTATAAAGGGAATTAAAGTAATTCAAATGTCTCTTGAATAAGCTGAAAAGTAATTTTAAAGAGAAAAGTTAGATGGGTTTGATTTATTCAATTAATACTAATGAATATTCTAGAAATACTTATTTGAAAAAAAATGCAAAGATAGAAAAGAACAGGAGGGCCCACAGAAGTCCTGAGGAAAGGGGCACAAATTCTGTAGACAATAATATGGTCCTCTGACCAGAGAAGTAGGCAAATAAGCATTTAGTAGAAGTGCTGAGCCATCTGTCAACTACTCAGAAAACATAAATTAGGTACCTGTCCTACATCATACAATGAATTCTCAGTACACACTTGATACCAGCTCTGCACTAAATAGTTAAGCACTGACTGTAAGACAAAAACCATGCAAAGACTGAAGATACAACTGTCAGTAAAAACAGAACCAAAGAGGCATGTAGAAAGACATGCACAGGCCAAAAGTAGGGCTAACCAACACAATATCAGCTATATACTTTGCTCAAGCAGTATAACTTGAATTTTGCTTAACATTAAGTAATTAAGAGGTTCCCTTTAGCATAAGGCTTTATAAAGACTCCAGTACAATATGACCCACCCCAGGTTCTGCGCCTAACCTTACAAAAACTACCTCGTGCACATTTTGACACGGCTGCTAATTGCATAAATAAATGTAAGACTGGGATAGTGGCAGTATGTAAAACAGATATTATGAAAGAGTGCCATATAGTTGTTACTGAAAATAATCCCCCAAGGAAATTAATGCTACTATGTTAAAAATAAAACAAAAGAGGATAAAATATTTACAAAGGAAATGATGAGATATTTGTCTGTGTTTAAGGTGGAAATAAGCTTCTAATTGTTAAAAACCAAAGGTACAGGAAAATTAACAGTTTGGCTAATCAGGCTAAAAATAAATCTGCCATGCTATACAGAATGCGTCTGTACCAAGGTCATCAAAACTTTTTTGTTGAGGGACAGACTACAAATAATTCAGGGTTTGCAGGCCAAAGAGTCTATGTTATAACATCTCAATTTTGTTGTTATATTATGAACTCAGCCACAAGCAGACGAAGAGATATGCATGACCGTGTTTGAGTAAAGCTTTATTTACCAAAAAAAAAAAAAAAAAAAAAAAA